GTTTCTACACTTGACTGTCACCAATCTAAACGACGCTGTAGCTGTAAGTCTCTCCAAGCTTGGTTTAGTAATTCTCCTTACTGATTGCCACAAATGACCTGCAGAGTTCACAGTACTGAGTAGCTCAGTGTTCAGAGCATCCACTAGTGTCTGGAATGGCGTGGATTCAATTCCTATCTGGAAATCAGAAAAAACTCAGAAGTTTTTTCTGAGTTATTCTTTCCACACATATCATTCTACTTAAAATTGATTGCCATACATCTTTTTTTTTTTCACTTTGGTGTCAGGGAATTTGATTTTTCATTGATATTGTTTCTCTGTTTGGTGTGGTCTTAATTTACTCTTTATGTTGTGTTATTGTTTGCAGCAAAAACCAAGGAAAGCATCTTTAAGGAAATCGAAAAAGGCGCGTGAGGTAACTTAGCTTTCTGTTAATGATAGCAATAATAGCTAACTTGCTTCTTTGTCGTAATCCCTCAGAGCAACCCGCTCAGAGCGAGAATCCTCAGCTAAGCACTGGTTGTTGTTGTTGTTGTTGTTGTTGTTTTCTCGCGAATAGTGATCTTAGTCCTGCTATTTCTCGTCTACTTACTCATATGATTTGTTTAGTTTGTTGCACACTGTGTACGCTCAATACTGGTTGCGTATTTTTCCGCGCGTGTAATGTTTTCCGCGTATAATACTGTTGTAATGCTGACCTGCGCTCAAAATGGTTCTAGTATGTTGGCGCGCGTATCACTGGTACACAGTTTTCCAATGCCCAGCGGACATGACACAAAACGCTCTGGGGACGGCACAGTTCAAATAAATATGGTTCTTTCTTCCTCTTAGCAGCAGTATACTTTAGCGTTTCTCCACGTTTAGCATTACAACTGGTATATCCACTGCTCTGCTTAGCGACCAGGCCCGGGTTGCTCGAAGCATGGTTAGTGCTAACCAGCGTAAAATACCATGGAAACCTATACATTTTGATACCTCTTAAGCCTAAACAGGCTTCGAGCAACCGGCCCCAGCCCTTTAATGCGAGTGGTTGGTGGTGAGTTGTTCCTTTCCGATATTAGTTTCAAGGATCTTTGATCATGTATTGTGTAGTGATCTGTACATTGTCGTATGTTTTAGTACACAAGTATGAAGACGGTTGGAGTCAAAGCGGTTGATGATACGTTTAAGGTGAGTAAAGTTACCTTTTACTCCTTCAACAGCCACAACATTTAACGGTGAATTTATTCCGTAACAGAGCAAGGCCCGCACTCTCCAAAATCTACCAAGCAGGCCTGGGTACTAACTCAAAGCACGCTGCTCCATTGATAAGGCACTTACAAACAAACTGACTCTGTGAAGTAAAAGCGTCTCGGGGCTTTCTCTCGTGGTTATACAGCGAAAAAAATGCGAGAAAATTTTCAGAAAGAAAGCAGCGTAAATGTTTCAGTAGAGCAATTTCTGCTAAGAGTCAAAGATAATTTAAGTCATTCATTTGCCATGTTTTTTGATTGGCTGACAAACCTGGCACTAAATTCTGAACCAATCAGAAGTGAAATCAAAACCAATCGTGGCTTTCTAATTTCTAATTTTGGCCGGCGTTGGCTAAAAGTATTTGCTGTTAGATCTGATTTTTTCCTTTAAATTCTGGGAGAATCGTAATTGGCCACGGTAATTTTGAATTCATTTGAAAGCTGCTTCAATCTTTTTCTGTTGTGTTTCTCCAATTAGGTGGCTATTCAACCTCTCAGGGATGGCACAGATCTATGAGAAAATGTCCAAGCGTCTCTTGGAAATTTCAGGGTAATTCTTTTCTTTTCAACTGATTATGCTTGGTGGCATGTCTATGATATTATGACTTCGGTCCTTATTCCAATTTATCCCTCACTGAAAAACTGTTGTAGATTTTCTTTGTACAGATCTTTAGTAATAGCAAGGGTATACTAGGAAATGGTCTTAACTGCATTAAACAGTAACGTAGTGTTTCATTTTACTTAAAATCGAGTAATTTTCGCTCTTAAATTTAAGGATTTACATTCTAACACAGCACTGCCTTCTCTCTCAAGGGGTGCGGCGCGTATTCGAGTGAATAACGTTTCCCCAGAGATCCGTAGTAGCTGAAGTTATTGCAGGAGATTGCATTAGACGAGATCAGAGTTGGGTCGTCACGCAGCCAAAATGAGAGTTTTTCTCAGTAACTACTCAGTACCCTGTGTCATTTTATACTC